CCCTGCACTGCCTGTAGTGAGACAGCGAGAGCTGGGAACGCAGCCGCAGGATCAGAAGCGGAGAAAGACCTTGAATGTGGTGCAGGCATTCCCCAGTGCCAGCTGAGACCTTACCAGTGCTGCTCCCTGCATCCAGGAACAGCTTCCTAGCAGCCATGGTAAAGAGATTTAACTCTTTCCTGGCTGAATACAGCACAGAAATGTACATTATTATTATTTCAAATGGTACCGCCACAAATATTTATTACCTGAGTCACACATACAGTTTCGACTACATTTCACTTAAGAATCAATTTTCAAAGACACCCCAAGAAAATACATGGGCAGTATTATCCTAAACATAGAAAACAAGAAACCCACCCCTTTATCTGCACGGTGCTACAGAAAAGTCCAGACCCCTTGCAGTCTAGGGGCCTGTGCAGAGACCGGGCTCTGATGGTGCACAGTGATGGGAATATTTGTGGTGCTTTGTGCTTAGTTTAGTGGTGGATCCTCTAGCAGTCTGCATAATCTCTGGAGCACATTGCCCTGATATATGACAGCATATACTGAGTTCCAGCAATATTAATCTTCAGAGCATTTGCATGGGCTACTTTTTCATATATTCTCTGTCTCTCTGCTGTTATACATAATCCTTTTCACTGTGAAAATGTCTTCTTAGTAATGGCAGTGGCATAATGTGCATCTAAAGTACTTTTAAGGTGTCCAGAAGGAAAACACGCTGCATTTAGATATCCTGAGTTAAAGACAGAATTCTGCTACGTGATTTGAAAAGTTGTGCAGTCTGTGCTCTGATGTCAGAGGGACAGTAATAATGTGTGGTACCATTCCCTTAAGAGCTGCTCTCTTCCTGCAGTGTCAGTTGGAGCCTATGCCACAAAATTCTGCAAAAAAAGTCTTTCCCTCCAGATCTAATTAATATAACACCACAACCTTTAGAAGCCATAATAGGCCTATCCACTATCAGGGCTTTTATTGATTGGAATTAACAGCAGAATGAACAGAAATTCTATTTTTTTTCCCCTGCCTGTGGGCTCTGGGGCTTGGAAATTGGCAGGTGTTGTAACTGAGCCTGGCCTCAAAGGCGAGCTAAAGGGAAGCCTACTTGGAAACACAAAAGCAATAGCTGCACTCAGACCATTTGTTTGCCTTGCTTTGTTCTCCATTCCATCACATCAGTCTAATAATGCTACCTTTAATTGAAAAGATATGTTTAACTTGTACCCATCCAAGCCTTAGCAAGAGTACAGCGCGGGCTGTGTTATGCTAAGGAGGGCTGTGGATACAGTGCTAGAGAAGGGGTCAAGCTGCTACTCTCCCTTACTGATCTTAAGCCTGTGGAAATGTGAGCTTGGATGTGACTTTCGTTAAGACATCTCGTCTAAGCTAGAGGAAATTTGATCATGTAACTTCTGTGGGTGTATTATCAACATCCAATTTCATGAGATGGTGAAGTCATAAATGGCTGGAGGCCAGAATATATTGAATAAATGCATGGCACATGCCTGGAATGTCTCTTGTGTGGTAGGAGAAGGACCAGAGCATATGGCTATTTTGTTGGGTTTTTTGACCCCCTTCCCCACTGTAATCAAGAGATTTCATACACATTTCTAGAAATGCCACCATTTCTATCAGTGGAGGTGGAACATGGCAAGTGTCTACTCATCCACAAAGCACGAAAGAGGGAGAGAGAGCACCAAGATCCATTCCTTGTACACTGTGCCCCCATAGGGAAGCTTTGTGGTACACGTGGAAGCCACTTCACCAAGGCCTGGTGGATTTCTGCAGTTGGGTCTGTTTGGTTAGGCAGCATCCACTCAAGTCATAGGCATATCAGAAAGGAAAAGAAACTACATCTAATGTACAGTTTATAATATAATTTGAGGCACTGTTACAGTGATGATAGATGTAGCGTATAGTGGCATGTTGTGTCAGTCTGGCAGTAGAAGTTGTTTAAAATAACTGATACAGTCCATCAAGCTGATCCAGCTGCATCAAGTGAGGGGAGTAGGAGAGATTTCAGCTGTTTGCTCATCGGCTTTAGCATGAGTACAATTTAGTGTCAAATGACAAAAAGCTTTTATGTTTTGCTCTTTTGGCACAGGTATGGGCCACCAGCTCACATGAATATTCAACTGAAAGGTCGTGACCTCCTTACTCTACAGAACTACACAGCAAATGAGCTGAAGTATTTGCTGTGGATGGCCTCAGATTTGAAACAGAGGATAAAGCACAAAGGAGAGGTAAAGTGCTTTAACTGTCGTTTAGTTCACCCAAATGTTGAAATAAATACTGATCTGAAGAGTATTGGTAATGAGCGATTCAGCTGTCTTGTCCTAAACACTATCGCCTGACCTCTTCAATACTGCAAATCACATGCTACAAATCAAAGAGCCTTCCTGTAAAGTGCTCAGAGGTATTCTTTAAACACTTCTGAGGACTTCGTAACTGAAAAAGTTAAACAGCTTTGCACAGCTACCTCCTTGTTTTCAGCTAACCCCATCCATCCACACATGGCGTACACGCAGCACTGAATGTAGGATATGGAAGACACTTCCCGGCATGGGATTAAATTACTATCAGAGTTCTCCTTAATGCTAGCTCAAACTGAGTGCCAAAATGCAGTTGCTTTTTGCCCCTAGAGTTACTTCTATCCTTTTAACCCTTCTGCTCCTAATAAATACCTTGAAGGGCAGGAGAACAAAGCTACAGTTAAAAAAACACCTGTGAAACTTTTCTAATGATGAATTAAAATATGGAAAGAAGTAGTTTAAACTGTAAAGTGTGTAATGACTATAAAATTGAAACTCCTTCAATTTTGATGTTCCAGTATTTGCCTTTGATGCGAGGAAAATCTTTGGCCATGATTTTTGAGAAGAGAAGCACAAGAACAAGATTATCTGCAGAAACAGGTATGTCTGAGCAATGGCACCATCCGATTTTGTATGCAATTGTATACTGTGAGCATGTATTGAAAAACACTGCATAATTTTGTATTTAGCAATTTCAATGCAGGAGAAACCTAAAGTTTGAAAGCAAGAATAGGAAAAGAATGGTAGCTAATTGTGTTTCACTTTGCATGTTAATGTCACAAGCTCATTGTTTTGATTAATGAAATTTCAGCAGATCATTCCAAAACATGATAGATCATAAATGAAGTAACAAGCAGAAGTAAGCATTTCTCATGTAAGCTCCTGCAAGTTGTATTGCCAAGATGCGCATTTCCGAACATTTAGTTTAGTAAGCATCACAGATTTAATTATGTGCAAGGTCTAATAAATATTTTTCTAATGAATTATTCATTTCTGTTATCATATTTTGGAGTATGCGTTTAGGCTGGGAATCATAGTAATGCCTTGATATAAATTAGGGGAAAAAAATTTCACATGATTACTGACAGGGGAAGATAACTTGATGCAGACTCCAGGGTATTAGCCTAATAAGATCAGGCAGTGGAACATTATTCTTTTAAGGATACAGTTCTGCAATAATTGAAAGACATACATGTCTTTATGTACATGGTAGGTGTTCTGAAGTCAATAGGACCACTGAAATAAATCACTCGTGTGCTTGCATATTAGCAAGGAAAAACTGTGAATTTGTGACATATCAAGAAAGGAGTAACTTTCCTTTCTCGCATTTAAGTTGACCCAGCATTTGAGTTGAGCCAACGTGCCACAGCCTACTTCTCCCTAGAGAAGGGACAGGAAACTTGTTAAGTGTTCGCATTTCTTTACAAGGTGTAAGGGAGAAGGTAAAAATAATGGAAGGCAGAAGCAGGTATGTTAACTGCAAGCATTTCTGAATTTGCCTGTATCCTCTGGCACAGCCATTGACCTGCTGATCCTGCTCTTCTTGCAGAATTGTTGCTTTCTGTTTTCTCTAGTTCAACAGGACTTATCAATAAGTTTCTCTTGTGCATTCCCTCTCTGTGAAGACTGCCCACCTTTTAATTCCAGACTTTTTAGCCCAGTTTCTAGTTGCCTGCCATAGTGGTACATTGGCAGGTAATGACGAATTCTCTGAACCTGTTTATCCTTCATGCTTCTGTATTTAAAGGGAAGCACTATTTAGTCCTCGGCTTGAAGGCTTATGGAAGGGGGAAGCTCAGGAAAGTTCAAGTGAATTAACTTAAGGATGGTAGTTAATGCACATAAATTCATCCAAGAGGGATTAAGCTCCAGTGAAATAAAACCAATTTATTTCTTCAATGAGAGCTTCCACAAGGAACTTTAATGCAGTTTAAAACTTCTGCGCATTAACTTCACACCTTCAGTTAACTGGTCTTAAGTCCCCTAAGCCCAAGATTTTGTTTCAAAGGCAGACTCAAGTATTTCCGTCCAGGGAATCTATACATTTCAGCTGCCTTTTAACATACATGACTTCTTCCTCGGAATTTCTAACTCAAAACAAATGTGGGGTCACATGTGTTCCTTTTAGCTAAATAAGCTAATTTAATGCCAGTTTTTCTAATGTCCAGTGAAAATGGACATTGAAGTGGATTGGAGTGTTTATTTATAAAATACCTGAGTCATCTCAAATAGCATTTCCCATGGGTTGCACCTTCAATATCTTGAAAGAGGTCAATTGTGGGACAAGGTTCTGGTGATGAGATTAATCTAAACAAACTTTGCAACTCTCAAGAACAACTAACTAGATGAAAATAAATGGGTTTCATTGTAAAGGAGTAGAGACTTGGAAAGCACTGATTGCAAGGTATCTCTGTGCAGTGTCTAGGAGATTGTTGCTGTATATTAACACCATGGAAGTCTTTTCAGAAGTCTTTTCAGAATTCTTTCTGTCACTATGCATATAAACCCCACCATTATGGAAAAAAAAATAAACAGACTCACAGAATAGTTGAGGTTGTAAGGGACCTCTGGAGGTCATGTGGTTCACACCCCCTGCTCAAGTGAGGTCATCTAAAGATGGTTGCCCAGGACTGTGCCCAGAAGGCTGTTGAATATTTCCCAGGATGGAGACTCCACAACCTTCTGGGGCAACCTATGCCAGTGCTCAATCATCCTTTCAGTAAAAAAGTGTTTCCTGACGTTCAGAGGAAGACTCCCGTGTTTCAGTTTGCACCTACTCCACCACTGAAAAGCACCTGGCTTCAGGTGCCGTCTTTGCACCCTTCCATCAGCTAACTATATAGATGAGCAAGATTCCCTCTGAGCTTTCCCTTCCATTCCCTTCCCTTCCCTTCTCTCTCCCTACTCCCTCCCCATCCGTCCCCTCCCCTCACCTCCCCTAACCCTCTCCCACACTCCCCCCCACCCCGCCCCTCCCCTTTCCTCCTACCTCCTCTCCTCTCCTCTCCACTACAGACTCCCAGCTCTCTCAACCTTTCCTTATATGAAAGATGCTCTAGTCCCTTATTCATTTTTGTGGGCCTTTGTTAACATGAACTTACTGACTCTTTCCAATATGTCTATGTCTCTCTCATACTGAGGAGCCCAGAACTGGATACTCCAGGGGTGGTCTCATCAGTGCTGAATAAAGGGGAAGGATCACTTCCCTCCACCTGCTGGCAATACTTTGTCTGGCACAGCCCAGTATACCATTCGTCACCTTTGCCACAAAGGCACATTGCTGGCTCATGTTCAACTTGGTGAACACCAGGACCCCCACGTCCTTTTCTGCCAAGATGCTGTCCAGCTGGGTGGCCCCCAGCATGTACTGGGACAGGGAGTTGTTTTTCCTCAGGTGCAGGACTTTGCACTTCTCCTTGCTGAACTTCATGGGGTTCCTGTCAGCCCACTTCTCTGGCCTGTTGAGGTCCCTCTGGATGGATGAATAACCCTCTGGCGTATCAGCCACTCCTCCCAGTTTTGTATCATGAGCAAACAGGCTGGGAGCACACTCTGCCCCATCATTGAGATCGTTAATTAAGATGTTAACCAGGACTGGGCCCAGTATTGACCTCTGGGGTACATTGTAGAAGTTTACCAAGTTGATCAAGCGTGATTTCTCTTTGGTGAAGCCATGATAACTACTACTGATGATTTTCTTGTCCTTAAATCTGTCTGGAAATAGTGTCCAGGATTAGCTGCTCCATCACCTTTCCAGGGACCGAAGTGATGCTGATTGGCCTGTAATTCTCTGAGTCCTTCTTCTTCAAGACAGGGATGACATTTGCTTTCTCCAGTCTTTCAGCACTTCTCCCAGTCACCAAGATCGATCAGAGATTATCAAAACATTAAAATGCCTTCTAAGAGAACAAATAATGTTTGTGGCTTTCCCAACATACTATTCCTATAAACTGTTTTATTCTGATGACTTTGCAACTGTACTGGATAATGTAAAGCTCCTTGCGGTATAATTCATTGCCCCTTTACTCTCTTGAACAAAGACAATCTTGTCCTAATTCATATTTCTGAAACCCATATTATTTTACCATTTCTAAGAGTAGTAGTGGTGGTGAAAGTTTAATGAAGAACTACAGGTCATTTCCATAAGGTACTGGTAAAGTAAATCCGGTTTTGTGGAGCCTACTAGATTTATTGCTATCACTGGCTATTATATTGGAAAATGTGACATCTCTGCTATTATACTGGAAAATGTCATCTGTTTGCAGTCAGAATCCCATACCCATTCTGCATAAAATCTTGCATACTTTTTGAGAACAAAGGTATTCCACATGATAATATATTTCTTGTAAAATAAACATCCCGCAGCATGGCATAAGGTGAATGCCCCGTTTCTGTTATAGCTTTGCTGTAAAATATTCTGATTGTCACTGTTGCTCTTCAAATATACAGCTGCAGTTACGTTTTAGTGAACAAGTCATAAATCCAACCATTTCACAGATGCTGAATGCAGGCAATATGTCAGAGGGTAGAAACGGAGAGGAAACAATACAGGCAGAAAAGCTCTGTATACTTTTGTTGTGCACACGAATATACAAGGTCTTAACAGCTTTACAGAAGTTCATCGCCACTGGCTTTAGTGGAACTACTCCCAGCTCACTCCTCTTACACAGCGGGGTGAGAGGAACATGGTGTTCATGCCTGAAGACTACTACATACAGTCACAGAATTAATTGCATCACTTCATATGTTCTGACGTAGTGGGGACGGTAGTACGTGGCAGGAATACGGAGTCTGTTTTTTGTTGGAATGGCTGGTATTATTTAAATTGGCCATGGCACAGGGGGTGCAAAAGTACTCTCCACTTAGAGGGGTAGATTTAGCTTACTCTCCACTTAGAGGGGTAGATTTAAAAAACTGGTTATTGGTTCTTAGGCTTCTACTTTAGGAATATCCCTGTAATTGCTGCCTACAGGAGTTCTTTGTTATCAATCTAAACTGAAGAATACTTTCTAGACTGTGAATCCTGGCAGGCAGTGAGGAAACTAACAAATCTGAATCCAGGTGTCTCGTAATATAAAAAAGGATCCTTCCTTTGATTTTGAGAAGATGGCTCTGCATGTCTCCTGGTGATGGTGGGGCAGCCCCACAACTGTGTATCCAATGCATGAACTAGAGGATTCACTTTGGCTCACTTACTTGCCCAGTGTAGCAGGGACAGGCCGGAATGGAGGTTTAACCTATGCCTGTACAATCACCAGCACTCATGTCCTACGTGACAGAGTTTGCATAAGTTGGCTTATTAATGTGCCACAGCTTGAGGCATAAAACTGTCTGTTTCTGAAAACTAACAGTAGTGAGAAGTATGGACATGAAAGAATAATCTATTCTGGCTCTGCAGTATGAACATTTAATACAGTTTGTTGAAGATACCAAGTTTCATATAAACACTTAGCATGTGGCTTTGGATATGTCCAGCTTGTGACAACAAAGGGAGTTAGATCTTCCAGTTTAATACAGCACTCCAGCATGTGCTTATTTGCTGAATTGGTGCCTGCATATCTTCAAAAGCCATCAGTTTTTATTTTCTACTGGTAGTCTGGATGAAAGAATCTGAAGCAAAGATTCTGTCTCTGCAACTACGTACAGAGCTCCTGTATTTCCAGATGGAAAGTTTTGGATGGAAATATGTTCCCAAGCCCTGAACAGATGGCCAGTTCACAAGCAGAGAGCCTAACACATTAGGACTCTGCTATGTACACAGACTCCAGGTGGTAGCTCCAACGGGACTGCCTGACGTCTGGCAACTCTCAATAAATGGCCAGATTCCTCTTTTTCTACCTGGGCATCATTTACAGAAAACTGGACTGAGAAACATCTAACAAAGTGTATGCATTTAGAAGGCTAAAATACAGAGCTGTTGTATTGTGTGGAACTAGTGGAGATAAATCACTGACATAATTGCATGTGACTTCAAAAAAAACCACAAGAAGCTGGACAGGAAAGTTAGTGAAAACGATATGTCATCCTTGAGGTCTTGACTTAAAAACTTTCATGGAATAGATAGGATGAATGTCTAGGCAACAGCTTGCATGCACATTCCCATAAATACAGAGTTTGTGACTGAGCTGCAGAGAGGAGGTGAAAGTATTTGAAGAAATCTAAATATTTTTCCTGCCTTGATACAAGAATGCTTCTGAATAACCAAGAAAGGAGGGCAAAACAACGAGCAAGTGAAGAAAGGAGGGCAAAGCAACCAGCAAATATGTAGTGCTTTTCTAACAGCAAAAAGTAATAGTAGAGTAAGTGATGCCTCTGTCTTAAAAGTTTGCTGTGTCTGACTCTAATCTTGTTGAGACGTGGAGCAATCCTTAACAGTGACAAAGGAAAAGTAAAATCAGGCCCATTCCATAACGTGAATATACACTGGCTGGGTGGAACAGAGATTTGTGCTTCAGGAAGGGTCTGGAGCATCACTGTCTTTTAATCTAACTTCTAAGGAATTTGAGGCAGTCAGAAGCCAATGATTTACTGATATTATTTTCTTCTATTCCATTTTAAAGTCTGGACACTGGCTGAACTGTTGCAAAGTGGAAGACCTCACCTCAACCCTGCTGCCCGCATGGGGTGGACGTTAATAGGGGCTGTTCTGTGTTAGGGGCCCAGCTGTGGGGTCGGTGCCTGCCACTTGAACCCAGTTGCTGGGGTTTATCTGTGAAAGGTTTCAGTGTCTGCTCCTGGTTTAATCCTTTTTTGAAGAGTAGCTGTGAGATCAATTTCTTAATCTAGCAGGCCTGTACAAACACCATGTTGAGCTGCAGTCCGGGAGATGCCGGCAGTGCCGTCTAATGGCTTCAACCAGCCCCAGCAGCTTTTAACTTTATTATTTCTTTTTTCTTTATTTGCCCTCACTGTAGGATTAGCTCTCCTTGGAGGACATCCTTCCTTCCTTACAACACAAGACATACATCTGGGCACTAATGAGAATCTCACAGATACAGCAAGGTTGGTAAAATTTCACTTGGTTGACCACTATGTCAAGTTGATCAGGCTGTAACCTAACAGAATTTTGTAAGCTAATATATTCTTGTTCTGGTGAAAGATATGCAGTGTCAAGCTTTTCAGGGTCAATTCAAAACATGCAATCAGCCCCCTGAGGATCAGCCTCTGCTGTATGCTGTAGTTTCCACAATCAGTGGGAAACATTGTTTGAGACACATGTTGCTGTTCTCCCTCTGATGAAATCCAAGGAAAATGTAAGAAAAAGACCAAACATTTAAATGTTTTAAGTTTTCCTTTCTTGCTTTTAACTACTGAAGTAGAAGGCATATGGGTGTAGACAATAGAAAGTAAAAATTTCACTCTTTTGAGGCTTGGAGACACTTAGCTCTCACTCCCTGCTAGATACATAACTCCGCTGGTATCAAAGTAAACTGCGGTGATGGTGTTCAGGTGTTTCAACAAAGGTGTGTCCCACCACCTTGCTTTAGTAACTACAAGCTTAAAAGATGCAAAAGTCACGTAAACTTGTGGGCCTACAAAGGGAATGGATTAATCTGAGAATTAAGAGTCAAGTCTGAGATACATTAGGTCACTGTGTCCAGTTCAGCCAGAGCTCATACACTGCCATGGGATTCAAATACATCCCCTCAAAAGAAAGTCTTCATATATCATGGGACATAGCCCCAGTTTAAGAAGAACAGCTTTAGCTTCATCAAAGTGTGCAACTTAAACAACTCCGCTGGCATGAGAGCGGGAAGGTAAATCCCCCATACTGATGTAAATAAATATTATCCTTCAAATGTCTTGCCTTTTCTTCCATTCTCACTGGACCGTTGTAAGCAGAGAGCCTCTCGGCTGAGAAGGGGGAGGAGGAGACCATGCTTGCAGCGGGTGCTGAAGGAGAGAGATGGGATGCTGGTGCTGAGAGACTGGGGCTGAACAGACAGAACCTGCCAAGGTGGGCAGGGGTACCGACACACCAGACTGGATAGATGAAGATCAGCTATTTACATGAGCTTCAAGGAACTGAAATTGAGAAGGGATGGGACACGCCAGAGCAGTGGGGAATGAACGAAAAAGGTGCAGAGGTGTCACATTTGGGACAGAGTGACTTCAGGCTCCAAGCCAAAGCGGTCTCCGTCTCTTGAGTGGTCTTTGTTTGCACAATGAAAAGGGAAAATGAAAGACAATAAGCTACAAGAAATAAGGCAAAAAGTAGAAGCAGGCAAATTTTCCAGCTATTCTGGAGGAGTCACCATTCTGTGGAGAAAGCTCCCACAATATTTGTTTCCCATGCAAGCCTTCAGCCCTCCTTTTCCTTGTCTCTGCTTGATCTTCCGGGTTAAGTCCCCATTTATGACCCTGACTTGGGGATTTTGCTGCTCTGCTGAGTCACAGCACTTGCCTGCTACAGTGGAGGGAGGGCTTTCCCAAGTCCTTACAGGGCCTCACGTGCTCTGCTTCACTCCTGCTCTCATTAGCAGAATTATTATTGACTTTGCATAATCAAGGCTGAGCAGTTTACCCAAAAGAACAATCTGAGTGTTAATACCTTAGCATTGCTTGTGAATGAAGGATAACATGCCAACCTCATTCAGTTAATGTAAGAATAAAAAAAAGAATGCCTGTAGTAGACCCAGAGGGTATTTCAAATATTTACAACCGTGTGTCGAGGGCTCTGAAGGCCTTAGAAGTACTTGTGATTGAGACTTAAAGCAAAAGGGGCACAGATCTATAAAAGTCCCAGTTTTTATTAGAATTGCTGCAGGTAAGAGTTGAAAGCATTTCTGCTGTGAACATATTTTCAGTGACTTATTACCTGCTCATAATGCAGATCCTCCATGCTTCACAAGACATTTATATTTACGCTGACACGGTAGCAAAAAGTTACCACCCATTAAGGAGCCCTAAGCCTTTCAGAGCTGTTTAGCATGCCTGATTTATTACGTGAAGTGAAATGTAAGTATTGTATCTGGGTTTTCCACTGCAGAGCAGTTCCATTGCGCACCACCGTAGCTCAGTGGCCATAAGGTTCGGTGACAGCACTGAAGAACTCGTAGAATGATTTTACCGGTCCACTGGCATTATTTGGGGATGAATCTCTGCATCTATGGGGAACGGGTTTATTTCTCATCACTCACTGAGAACACATCCACCATATGACCCTGTAAGACTGTGAAAGATAATGAAGTGGTCTTGTCAGAAATTTAAATCTTTTGAATAGATATATACCTTCAAAACAAAACCAAAACTACCTCAGATAGATAGCAATATTCTTCCCAAAATAAAAGAAAATGCCCCATTTTCAAATTCAGAGATTAGCCACAACAAAAAGGCATATTTTTATTTGTGTTTAATTTTGAATTCCTCAGAGGATACACTTGACTTAAAATTTCCATCTTTTCTCTGTGGAAATAAAAGTTATTTTGAAAAGAGAGATAGGCAACATTCCCATACACTTGTGTATTTCAGAGCTCAGGGATTTTGAAGTTTACAGGCTCAAGGTCTTGGAAAAAGAATGAAAAGAGAAAAAGACTTTGTAGTTGGTGATAACATAGAAACCTTAAATGAAAAATCACATGATGAGCCTGTGCTCACTCACCCTCACCTTCCAGAACTTCATCTTTTCTAAAGACTCTCGGCTAGCCAGGTCTTTTTTTCTATGCAATCCCAGCCTTACATGGTTTCCTTTAAATTGATTTGATTACAGGAGACTTCATCTTCTCAGATGGGGTCTATATTTTTTTTTTTTCTTGAGTTCAATTTGAGTTTGATTTCACAAAGAATAAACCCAGTTTCCACCTGGGTTTCCTACTGTAAGATATGACAACTAGACATGCTGGGGGAGAAGTGTCTGATGTCTTGCTGGTAAGTGTCTAATAAGTCTAGTATCTACTTTCAGCAGATTAAGGAAGAAAATTCATCACTTTTCACTCATTGGTAATTGATTCTGACTGGATTTCCTCTAATAGCATACCCTGTAAAGGAACTGTCTTTTTTAAATTCTTTATCAGTCATGTCAGGTAGGAATTGGCTGTCCTGACATCCTAAAAAATAAGTGTAAGAAAATGGACAATTTCCCAGTGTGACTGCCTCTTTTCCTTGACCGGTGGGACTGACTGTGTCTTGTTTAGGGTGGACACCTGTTGATGGCTAACAAAGGGGACTGTGCATCCCAACCCTGATGACTAGTTCAGAACAGGACTGGTTTTCCACAGTCACATGCTTCAAGCTGGAATAAACGCATTCACACAGAGAAGAAGGACCTCGTGAGATAATAAGAAATAATGGCACAAACAGCAAGTGTTCCAACACTTTGCAATCAGTGAACACCTTGTTCAGTTCCTCCTTTTTACCCGGGGCTGCTATCGGCAGTCTTTTCTTGAGAGCACACTCTTTGGGGAATCTGGTAACATTTCATGAGAGTTTTGCTTGTGTGAGGAATGTCTGGTGTCAGTAGAAAATATTTGTTACTGACTTCATCAGGAGATTTGTCTGTATAAAGGCCGTGGCATTAACAGACCTATTTCCACAAGAGGAGATGCCAGAGTTCCTCATGGCTGGTCAGGAAGACAGATACTGTAAGGGGTTTTCATACTTTTCTATTCAGTCTCTCCCTTGTTTTGTTTTAAGGCCCTACTAGAGATAACATGAAAACACACAAAAATGCTACTTCAAAGTCAGGCTCCAGGGCCTGATTAAAACACAGAAATGCAGAGAAATGCAGAGCTCCAATCCATATTTAATTTATCTAAAGAATTCCAAGCATAATGAGTATACTATGTTAATCCACTTTGCTAATCTCTGAGTCTTTCACACTTTGGCAAATGAGGTTAAGGCCAGGGTGGTGCAGTGACTCCTGCATGCCCCATCCATATACCAAGTTTCAAATGTGGGCATCACTTTAGCGCTGATACTGTGTGTGTCAATACACAGGTGGAAAAATAGGTAGGAGAAAGAACAGGCTGGTGTTGTTGGCCTCCTGTTTCTGTGTTCATTAAGATCCATAAGTAATTGTGGTAATCCAAGACAGATTTGTATTCCTAATCCTCACCAAGGTCAGGCTACCCTACAGAGACACTGTAATATTCAGTCAATGCTACATTTGTTCTTTGAGTCTGAAAGACTCAAGAAATCTTATACCTCCTCTCTTCTGAAGTTATCAAATTCTTCAAATGTTAGTGTCACGCAATCTCTTCTCTTAGTTCAGATACCTTATCCTTTACTGATGTTACATCTCTAGCTACAATCAAATGCTAAAGAGAAAAATACTCACCCACCAACATAAAATGCAGCAGCAGTTTTCATTTACTTACCATAGTTTTTTAATAAGTAAAACGGCACACTTATTAGCAGCTTGTTAAATGTCTGCATTTAAGTGTGCTATGCAGGCATGATAAATTATTCAGATAGCTGAAAAAATTGATTCATTACTGCTTTTCATTAATATTTATGTATTGCATGCTGAAGAGTGCAATGGGGATATATTTATTATGTTTGACTTGGGTATTCTCTGCCAACCCCTAGGGTGCTGTCCAGCATGACAAATGCGATCTTGGCTCGAGTTCATAAGCATAACGATCTGGACCTAATGACGAAAGAAGCCACGATCCCAGTAATCAACGGATTGTCCGATTTATACCATCCTCTCCAGATTTTAGCTGATTACCAAACTCTTCAGGTAACAATAGAATCCTTGTTTAATATTTTTTTTTTCTTTGCTAGGTCTTGGTCAGCATTTGGGGAAGTCAGGTTCAAAATAATTTATTCTTAAGTTTTTCTAAGTGCTAATTACATGGCACTTGTTATTTAAAGTGATCTTCATCCAGCAATATAATTAAGGACCTGTTTAATTTAAAACAATTACCTAGTCCTATCAGCTGTAGTGGGTCTGAAGTTAAGCAGAGAATTACGTACTTCATTGGAATTAGGCTGCAATTTAAAAAATGTGCAGGGGGCTTTACATATTAAGATAAAGGTGAGATGTTGGCTCAACCAAAGCCAGTGGAAGTTTTTCCACTGACTTAAAAAAACCTAGTATTTCATTCTTCATTCCTCCCTAACCAATGAACAGTTTAAAAGGGATCACTATCTATGTATTTGGAAATTGGTTAAACAAATTTGTTTTGAAAAGTCAGTTAATGCTACTAGTGCAAATGCCTGGTGTTGAGGCACTTTAAGCATTTAAACTTTGTTCACATCAAAGAATACTTTAGAAAAGAACATATTTTGTAGTTTAATCTAATGAAATAGTTGATTTGACAGCAGGATAATGTTTTACACATAGAATACCAGATGTTTATCTGGGAACAGAAGGACTATGCTGTTTTACAATCAATTGAGGAACTGGCTTATAAAAAAGATTATTATACTGCAGAGCTGGTTGACAACTATGATGAACTCCTCTGACCTTGTTTACTTTCTGAATGAATAGAAATCACACTGCTCAAAACAGGGAGGGCAGAATAATTTCCTGATTCATTCAGCTGTGTTTCTCAGCTGTTGAAGAATTTGCTAAAGAACATTCAGTATGTGGAAAAGACCTAGTGAGAGTAATATTAAATTATGCATGCTGTAAGCTTTAAATACTGAAGGACTCATAAGTTTAGTGAAAATTATTTTTTCCTTACTTTGATTAGTATTTTTTCATAAAATTTTCAATACTTAAAGGGAAGACACCAGCAAAAATTGTTGAACTTGAGACTAAAATGCTTCCTATATCTCAGGATAAGGTACATCTGGGAGATCACATTGAACCAGCCTCAATGGACTGTTCATATTACCTAAGGCAGTAAGCTGTAATGAGAATGTCGTCAATCACTAAATGTCATAACTTCATTTAAACACTGTGTAAAACTGTAAACCAGGTGAATCTTAGGGTTGTGTTTTGCGGGGGGTTCTGTCTTACAAACACCTTAGTTATTAACATTTTATCACTTGTGAATAACAGGCTTTAGGCATAACCTGTGACTCATACTCTACACAATGACTGATGTCTCTTCCCCTAAACCTGGCTTTATCCAAGCCACTGACTACGGCACTGAAGTTCAGAGTGCTGTTACCCTGTACTCCACCTCCAGTCAACAAAGAGAAACTTCTGAGCATCTCAGTCACCCTCTAGAGATGCATCTCTTTCTCCACCAATCTTAGGGGGAAACCTTTGAAGATCAGCAGAATGAGCATGTGCCCTGCTCATCCTCCTCTCCTCCATTGTTCCCTTGTATAGGGTAGCCATGGTAGAAGCTCCAGGTGAGCATGAACCCACAGGCTGGACTGCTCCATGGTTTGAACACCAAGGCAGCAGCAAAAACAGCTGGGTGTCCTTGTTGCATCAAGCACTGGGGATGATCTTAGAGTGTCCCTGCCCATTTTACATGATGAGGAAACATGACCACAACAATTGGTGCTCAAACGAGAAACATTTGATGTGGAGAGCTGTCATAACAAAGTGAGCACTTAGAATGTCTGAGCTTTTGGACAGCCATGGAAGCTTTTTAAAATTTGCAGCATTTCTCAGTCAGCCTGATAAGCAGAGCTCTGTTTCCTCCTACTGTGCCCATCTCTCCCCACAACTTTCCAGCATGTTCCTTAGCCCAGAGTTTCTCAGGAAGTCTTTAGAGGGCAGCTGGGTGGCCACCCCACTTTGCCAAGGGGGTGCTGCACCACTGGTTTCCAACCCACTTTCTGTTCTTGCTTTTCTTAGCCAGAGGTAGGGGCAGCAGCGCCTGTGGGAGCTCTCAGCACTGCTCTGAGTGTTGGCACTGCTGCTTCTTCCCTTTCTGACCTGCCCGTCTGCTGCCTTTTTTCCTCTCTGCACTGCGTGCTGAGGTGGCGAAGACTGGTCTTACAGCCAGTAGCATGTAATAAAACGGTATTTTAATCATATAATGAACTTTAACCAGGTCACAGAAGTAGACTGAGTGCTTGAAGAAGTGTGAGCCACAGGGTGTAGTTGTTACTTTATCACTATCAAACTTCTCGGCAGGGTAAAAAAGCGTTATCTAAGTACTGCCTGCAAAAAGATTAATATAGAGATGTTGAATGGTACCACTGCTTCTTTAGATGAACTGAAAGTTCATATATAACATTTGGACAGCTTTCCTGCAATGCAAAGGCAATTTATTTGATTTATGCATACATGCAAACTACAGTGGCACAGACTGCTAACCTTATAGTTAAATGTAAATACAGAATTTGTGCAGCTTATTTCTCTTTAAAAATGTCCCTTCCTTATCTCTGTAAATATTTTTCTGCCTGGATCTGCTCCTCCCTGCTGTCAGTATGTACCCAAAATGAACTTTTTTTTTGTCTCTTTTTTTTTCTCTTGCTGCATTTGCTAGTGGAGCACTATGTGCGCTCTGGCCCTCTTCATGCTTAGCACATTTTTATTCTTATTATCGGCTAAATCTTATTAATTTTGTCATGTGCTTTCTTGAATCGTCTTTGAGCACTGTCTCTTTGGTCTGAAACTGCCCAATTAACTCATTTGTTTTGCCAGAATATTTTCTTGCCTATGGCTTCTGATTCCCTTCCCACAGGTGCATTGTAGCCTGGTTATTTTAGTATAGCAAGTTGCATTCCCCAAACAATGTGGCTGGTTTATTTTCAGAGCTGTCAGTTCCCGTTCTGTATTCAGGATGTTCTTGTCAGGTCACAAAGTGAGCTCCTGTCATGAATACTAGGATGAGATTCTTCAGTTTCAACATCCTCTTGCCTCGTGCCTTCTTCCTGAGCAACCTGGAGCCCCTCACGTGTTTGACAGCTAAGCTGGCACTGGCCTTTAATATTGTGGTCAGGATTAATGCCGTCTATTATGCCAAGAGGGATGTTTTCCTTAGCATATGTGCTATCCTCTTTCCGAGAAGCTGAGTTGAGCTGAGTTTAGTCTTGAGTTATATCCCACTAGAAGTGGTTGTAAACATTATGCAGTCTGATTGTGGGGGTTTTGGGGATTTGGCCTTTAAAGACTGTGAGTTTGTGTTCTGGTAATGTTTGCATGCAGATCCACTTTACTTCTGCCTGTGCTGAAGGCACGTAACAGCCACTTGCTGAGTCCACCTGATACCTCTCCATCTCCTGGGCAGAAGCTGGGCCTCACCATTTCTGCTCCGTGAAGCGTGGCTGGAGGGCAGCATCGCACAATTTGCATTCTGGGGATGACCCAAGTATTGACATCGATTCAATTGATATTAATGTCATTGGCCAAATGAGCTAACTCTTAGCTGACTGCAGGACGGCCAGACTGGTAATTAGAGTGGATCCATATGCCACTATCTTTTTGTGTCACTGGTCTGGAAAGAAATGTCTTTTTCAGAAAGAAATGGTTGGCATAAGAAATACATCAGTGATTCCTTTTTAAATAGCATAACAAATTACAGCATTGCCCAGCTTGAAGAGGGCTGCCATACATTCTCAACTTCTCCTTTGTGTGTGACCCAATGAGCTCAAATTATTATAGTCTTCAAATTAATAGCCATCATTCTCATTATTCTAACAATTAGAAATCCCAACTAAGATCTGGACTGACCCTCTGTATCGGAATGTTTAAATAACAGTGACAAACACCAAAGTAAGGTAACTGGCCCAGCATCTGTCTTCAGCTCAGCTTGAGAGCCAATAGATCCAAATTTGCCCAGTTTCTCATTTACTGGATTGCACTCTCTCCCAAAGGGCTAAAGCTTTGACTAGTCCCCTGCTTTCCATTTTAAATTTTGACAGATTATTGATTCATTATTCAAAAGCCCGTTTTAATTGAGGTCTATGACTGTTGTGGTCAAACATTTCAGAAGTAATCTGTAATGGTGTCAGAGTTTCAGCCTAGCTGGAAGCAAGTCCAGGCAGAGGCAGACACGAATGTCCCTAATAAGTTAAACCAGTCTTCTCCAAACATACTACAGTGCTAAATCACTGTGTGTGCTTATTTTTTCTCAGGGTTTGATACACTGATACACCGCAACCATGGACAAGGACAGAATGAATCATTGCAAAAGATGCGTGAGGATGAGAAAGTTGACTGTCAAATTGACGTTAATTATTTAGCAGGTAGTTTTCGTGAGAATAGCAAAGCCGAGTTTTGTGGCACAACAGCAGCAAACACTAGCTTGCCAGAAGGTGTTCATAAGGGAGAAGGGCTCTAAACTTTCTAAATATGGTTGGGGTTTGGTTTTTTTTTTTTGGTGGCTCTATTAGGAGTGTAAATATTTTGAAGTCAGGTTCCAAATGTAAGGAGAAGCTGCAGCACGCTCAAGCAGGTAAAATGCCAACATCCATGTAAGAGTTTGGAAAAACTGGGGAGCGATGGAAGGGGGAAAATATCTCCAGAGGCTCAGGTGACCAGGATGTATTGTAAAGGTTCTGTCTTAACGTACAGTGTTACCATCATGGCAAAACGCTTTTAGCAGGATTTTCTCTGCGCAAGTGTATAAACATATACTATAATACGGTGGGGGAAACAACGTAGGTCTCTGGGTCTCTGTATATACAGTAGCTTTCATATTGCCTCAAGGCTTTCTGGTTCTGACTGACACAACCATCTTTCTTGGAAGCTGAGGATGTGTGTTTATAACCACTACAGTCACAGTCCCAGCGAGCTGGCTTTAAATGAGGAGGTTTGAGTTACAGCAGCAGCATACTGGTGGCAGCATAAAGCTTAGCACAGGATAGAAAATGGGCCCCACTGGTACACACACAGCTTGATTCTGCCTTGTCTACGACTTCTTCCATTAGCTAAACATCTTCATTAAAATTAGCTCGGCGATCCCCACTCTGTACAGTAGTCATTGCAGATGTGGCTTTGCAATCTGCAGTGCAGATTGAGGGTCATTATACAGACATTTCCAGCACTTTGTATTTTATCTGTAGCAGCTCGTAGCTTGGGAAAACAGAGAATAGTATTTAGTATGCACTGTGCTTCGTTTAATGCAGAGTAGCAGCTGGTAATAAGGTGGAAGTTATTTAACATAGCAGTGTATTTGTGACTCACTAGTTAGGGCTTTGAGAAGTACAGGCTGCGATGTCTATTTTTAAACAGTAAGATCAAAAGAACTCGGGGCTGTCTCATTTACTCCTGGCTGTGGGTTCATGTCACAGCTATCACTAAGCCCTAGCTGGAAACAACCCCTTAAATAAATGCTTTAGTTTGGCCTTCTCCTAGGAGTACCATTGCTAGGAGATGTGGGAGGACTTTGAAAGATGCTTAGAGACCTGCAGAGCTGTTAAACTGGAATAACTTCCATGTCCACAAAGTCCTGCTTTGCTCTCCTGTAAATGCCCTTGCATCCCATCTCTGCCCATGAGCCTGCTGCTAACAAACTTCAACAGCAAAAGCGATGGTTTTACAGTATCGGAGTTTCAGCCCTTAAACCGTAGGCAGCCTAGCACTCCACTGGGTTTAGATTTCAATGACCTTTTAATGTCATTCAGTATTTCAAGTCCTGTTATTTTTGACTCAAAATTGTGGTCACCATCAGAAGCGCCAATAACTTTGTTCTGGAACAACTTCACAACTACTTGTTTAGGAGAAGCTGCTGCCAGGAGAGGAAGGGTTAGTCCCAGCCCTCTCTCTGCTCAGTCTTTTGGCATCTTTGCTGCGACTGCCTGCGAGGTTGCCAGTTAATACAGCTCCACAGCATGGATGCTTATCCTCTCTGACAAGCGTTGAATCATGTCACACAAAGTGTTGAAACACCGTCTGGCTTCCAGCTACTACAATGCAGTTGTAGCGTGGCCCAGTTTTGAACTAAGAATAAGAAGCTCTCCATCGTGTCTTTAGTGTTTCAAGTCATGAGGTGGAGTTGTACAGAGCAGGCCTGTAGAAGCATGTGGTTATGCCTTTGTGAAGTTTCCGGTACCAACTGAAGTTCCTATATATGTACATATTTAAAGTAAGGATTGCTGAAGGGCCTCACACTGTCCTGAAATGTGAAACTCGTGTTGCTCTTGTTCCTCCTCAGACCTTATCTGTCGGTGGCTGAGGGCCGGAGCAGCTGTGCATGTACAGGCTGTAAGCCCCACCAGCCCAAGCTACAGTTAACGCTGTACTACTGTTGGAAGTTCGGGTAATCCACACTTTAAAAGAACGACTGCTCTCTTTGGCTGTACAAAAAGAGCAAACCCTGCCTGCCATGAGTGCCACAGCTGCTTTCCAAGTATTGCTCCTCCCTGTCCCATACAGCCATGACAGTTAAAATGCACTCTAAGGGCATTGCCCCTGCCATGGCTGCCAGGAACGTTGTGTAGAGACACCTGAGCCACAGCAAACCTGAATAGGGATATTTTCATGATCTAGGGGAAAGCTGGAAGGAGTGCTATCCTAGGAATTAGGACTGCCTCTAAATTAAGGATTTCTATGGTTCACTGATATTCATGATCACCAACCCACGGCTGTACGGCTTTGGTGCTAAAGCAACTGTGTGTCTGGTGCTGTGTCTCGCAGCCTGGGCCTCACCACTTGGTATTCGTGACGACGTGTTCTTCACTGGAGAAAGCTGCAGCACTTGGGTCTTCATGTAAGACACAGGGGGGTTTCCCTCCCTGACCATCTTGTAGCTGCAGTGAGTTAATCAAAGGTGTGGTTCCACGCCGTTGAAGGCAGCCAGCCTTCTTTGCACCAGACCCACCCGATCAATTCCTCCTACCTAGGGCATCGGCTTGCTCAGTTTGCCTGGAACGTAACCCCAGGGCTGTCTGATTCATTTGTCAGGAGCACTATGGCGGGCTGAATGGGCTCACGATTGCTTGGATCGGGGACGGAAACAATGTCCTCCACTCCATCATGACGAGTGCTGCAAAGCTGGGTATGCACCTGCATATTGCGACTCCCAAGGTGAGAAAGCCACGTGCATGGAGTAAGGAAGGGAAGCTTTGCCGTGTCCTGTCTCAGCCACCTGGTACTTCCCAAGCCTGCATGGATCTTGAGTGCCAGCTTTCAGAACAAAGATTCAGAATCCCATTTCTGTTGTTTTGTTGCAAAGCAGGAGTAATCCTAGTGAGTTCACCTTCAGAAGGGTTGAGAGGAATTCGTGACTGCAGTGTAAATCATGAAGGATGATAATTCCATTGGAGAAAGAGTTACAAAACCATCCAATGCCCTCTCCCCTCCAAAAAAATTTGAAAGTTGTTTCAGATTGGTGGAAGTGTTGCATCTTGGTTCAGTTTGGTGATGGAGCTTTTTGGAATGCTGCATTGTAACACGATATGAAATACAAAATTAATTGGTTTACAACGAAAGATTAAATGACGCTTAGGCATTGCATTCTGTAACTGTTGAAATACATATTTCTTACCTTATCAGAACACTTTCCACTAGTTTATCTCCAAAATAAACTTTCAACAAAATCAACATGATTTCCTCACATTTTGCAGTTGTGAAAGACATTCTTCTTCTGGTGGCAAATGGTTCAATCAGCATTTTTCTAACTAGCGCTAATGATCAGTAAAGATCTTATATGTGTTCCATGGTATGTTACCCACAGTCTCTTTCAGCAGGGCTTTGAACCAGACCTGAGAATAACCAAAATAACTGAAGAGTACTCCAAAGAGGTAAGAGCCTAAGGAGTAGCCTAGTAGAGTAGTTTGAATAGGGTTTATTTTCATTATAAACAAAAGTTGAAGTTCCTTGTCTTCCTGATCTTCCTTATTTTATTCACGTTAGTATGGTACCAAGTTACTTCTCACAGCAGATCCTTTGGAAGCTGCAGACGGTGCCAATGTCTTAGTTACGGATACATGGATAAGTATGGGACAAGAAGAGGAAAAAGAAGAAAGACTAAAGGCATTTCAAGGTTATCAGATTACAATGCAGGTAAAAATTGATGTTGGGGGTTTTGTTGATGCTTTACACTTTGCATTTTTAAGAATCAACATCAGCAAAGCATGGGTTTGGTATTTGCCAGCTTGAAAAACAGGCAAAGTTAATATAAGTTTGAGTTATCGTATACACTTCACATGACTTGGCCTCTTTCCAAGCTTCCCAGTGAGATCCAACTCCAGAACACGTGCAGGAGAGCTAGTGGTGCCTTTGCTTCTTTATGACCTGAAAACTATTTCTGACTTTGCATTTCCTCTTTGCTACCAGAAGTGATCCCTTATGTTTTATTTGGAATGAGCAGCTCACAGATTAACTCTTAAATGCCTGGGCAGCATCTGGGGCAATTTTGTGTGTATCTGTCAGTGAATAAAGAATTAAATGTATTTCTTTAAAATCATCTAGTTGAAATGCTTATCAGCACAAAATCAGTTAGAGAAAACGTAAAGTCATAAACTATTACTTGTCCAAGATGAAAAGGACATTTTTTGCTGATAGGTTTACTTGTTTAATTGACTGTATTTTGACATAAGTTCACAAAATATTATTGATGGGTATGTCTCTGTACTGGCCTAAAATGCTTTAATTTATTGTTCATTAATTGTAGTTCAATATATTACGAGTGACAATAGCAAAAGAAAAAAAAATAGCTATTTAAATCATGGTTTAGTATGTTCTTGTTGCAATTATCAATAGTATTATATTACTGTGTGGCAGTCAAACAAGGATTACACTTTATTGATCCATGAGGTCGCTGGATATTTTACTCCCTTACTAAAGTCAGAAAAATAGGATTAAATGTTTGACTTCTGTGAAGTCAGCACTGAATTCTCAGTAACATAAATAGGGATATTTCCATCTTATTCACAGATGAGGAATTCTTTTGAAGTCAGTGGAATTCTTCTGAGTTCATCATCCAAGAGACTGGAGAGGGAGCTTATACAAAATTTGTTAACCTTTTTACCAGTTGAAGAATTTGTTATTGTCCTTACACCTTTCTGTGTTTTTATATGCTTTTTCATCTTCAGACTGCAAAATATGCTGCTTCCAACTGGACTTTTTTACATTGTTTACCCAGAAAACCTGAAGAAGTTGATGATGAAGTATTTTATTCTCCTCAGTCATTGGTTTTCCAGGAGGCTGAAAACAGAAAATGGACAATTATGGTAAAAAACATAACAGTACTTAGAGGTTAGGGTCAGCTTCTGTTCTGCCTTACACTAAGTATTTGGGTTCAGCTTGGTTCCTCAATAAATAGTAAATGGGAACACCTGTGTTTCAAATGCACCCCACAGCACATCACAGTTTTGACTATAGCAAACATATGTATGTAGCACAAATACTTCTGGACACAAATGTGACCTATTTTAATGACAATCTGCTGTTGCTTGACCCAGTCTTCATTGCTATGTGAAATCTACAGTATCAACCGTTATTTTTTTGGTGTTTAAGTCACTGGTTTTACTCTAATGATTAACTCAGCTGCTCAGTTTTAAACCCTGTTAAATGCTGTTGTCCCAGGGACTGGTCTTAGTAACGACAATTTCCCAAACACTTAAAACTAGAGATTCTGCAGTTTTCTCTCAGGAATAACTGCCACTGACACCAACGGGAACTTTCCCTGGGAAAGTGCTGCAAGAGCAAAGCTCTGAAGGACCTTGAAAAGTTATGGTGCGATCCATGGGAACCATGAGAGGACACATGGCATTTGACATAAACGATAACGCCTCTCTCAGCTTTCCTAGAATTTCAGAAAATTACTGCCAGATCTCAGTAGCCTGTTATTTATTGTCGGCAGTAGAACCATCATGTTGACCAAAGCTAGTGAAAAACTTTCAGAGGTGAAAAAAACCCGGAAATGAAATCATCATAGCTCTCAGATGAACTCTAGATGAGTAAGTGGTTAAGTATCGTATTTAACAAAAACTCAGGTTTTGGATGTGGTCAAAATTATTAAGATGTTTGTGTTAAATTCATAGTTTTGACCTTAAAATTCTGAAAGGTCTTCATATTTTTAATTTTATTTTTGCAGTGTTCCTGATTTCCTTATATATTATTTTTTAAAAAGAAAAAATACCCTTTACTTTGAGTTCCAGCTGCACATTTTTTGGGGGGAGTAAGACAAATGCCATATTTGTATTTTCTCAGGCTATAAAACCAACACATGTATGGGTTTTGATTATATATTATCTTCTACCACTTTCTGCTCAGACAGCGAACTGAAAAATAAATCATTCGCTCAGTGGTAGTTCCAAAGAGGCCTGAGAGCAGCTATGACCTGGGTAGCAGCAAGGGCCTGCACAGCTCTGTGTTCAGCCCCCGCGGGACTGCCCGTCATGTTGAGCAGTGCCGAAGGGAAAGGAAGGGCAGGCAACAGGACCACAGCCCCTGGAGAACCCTTGTAAATCCACTTTGGGGCCAAAATAACACTTTGCAGTCAGACATTGCTGTGAAGTCATGGGGCTTGTTATGTGCGGGGAGGACAGCACAGCTGCCACAACACGGTGTTTGATGACACACTAGTAACCTCCGTGAGGATTTTCCAGGTTTTACCACAGAAAATATGGCTCAGCTGGGATATATTTCAAAGTCCTTGTGCTGGTATGGCTCTCACTGGTGCTAACGCAAGTGCCACTGAAATCCAGAAGCAAACCCGTGTGCTCTTTGGGTACCTACAGCATCTCCTAGCAGTAGCTGAGGATGCAACATAACCCGCCAAAAAGGCCCCAGCATTTGACCTAAAATGCTTCGCCTGAATTTCTCCTAGGCTGTACGCTAATGTATTTTTTTCTGCACTGAGAAAACCTATCGGCTGCAATAGAGAACATCCTAACTGATTTTCAGCTCTTTCCTGATTCATCATCAGAAATTCTAGCAGATAAATCTCAGTGTGCAGTTTTTGCCAGGGCAATAATTTTCAACGCAAGACTTTAGAGCTGGAAAGTATTTCCCCCTTATTTATTTTTATGGAGTATCTGTTTCCAATGTGATTGGATTTTTTCTTTTCTTCCTCCCCTAGGCTGTCATGGTTTCCCTGCTGACGGATTACTCACCACAGCTACAAAAGCCCACATTTTGATGCTTGGATTCCTGTCAAGAGAAAAAATATTCCTCATTGGCAGAATATTCTCGTCCTCAGATACATAGATCTTCTTCAGAGAGGATCAAGGCAATGAATGATTCTTTAATAAAACCGTACAGTTAGCTGTATCGTACTGCATTACGTCTGTGGAACCGTTCAAGACCGTAAACGCCATTGCCAAAGCTGCTTTTCATCTCAATGCTCCAAGCTGGCTCTTCCTTCCAGTGACGAGCATCACGGAAAACGTTCCAAGGTTGTACTTTAATGATTGGCTCTACCAGCTTCATAGGCACAGCATAGCCTACACATGGCTGTGTTGGGACTCGTGTAGCATAGCAGACATAAACCTTTCCCCAAACCTGTCCATGGAGTTGCTGATGTCGGGAAGTGTGCACAGGGAAGCGAGAGCTTTAGTTTGCCTTGGTCACCTTCACTTCCTGGGCACCCCAGCTCCCGTCTCTGTCCTCCTTCCAACCTCCAAATTCCACTCCTGTTTGACACTGAGATCTTGTGAGTGTTACCTTCCTCCATGACATTCCTGAGGTTTGGCACAGGAGGATGCTGCTGCGGAACTGGAAGAGAGCAGCTCCACAGAGTTGAATGCGTCAGAGAGCCAGCTGAGAGGAACCGGTTCATTCTTTGTCCATCTCCCCTAGACCTTCACTCCCTAAACAGAATTTTGACTGTGGAAGCAGGTTTTCTATTTCTTTGTTTCTAAGCAAACGTGAGGGGCACCGTATGATGGCACCGTGTACGGCCCCATTGCAGAAAGCATTTGCTGCACAGTCCGGCACTGTAACGGGGTCTACATTTCATCCTGCTCAGTAGTGAACAGATTCATGACATTTGTAGGTTTTTCTGATGGCTGGGTGTGTGCAGTCAGTATTTCAGTTAAAGCTTTGAGTACTATTAAAACTCACCTCCTTTGTTGTTTCTGATCAGTTTCAAGAATCTGTTGATCTTTTTCCCGCTGTAACACTGGAATGTGGCTGTGATTTTTTAGAAATGCGGCCAATGGGTTTCCATTTTCTGACCAGGTGCAAAACATCGTTTAATTCCTTCCAAAATTGGAGTTCGCTGCTGGGCCACACAGATCACTGAAACAAAGATAAAAATACGTTTGTTTATCTACCCGCTTACGATTGGTTCGTTGTTTTTGCAGGCATTTGTGTGTCTCTTGTTAAAATTAACATTCTCCATTACAACACTGCAAGGGCTTCAATAATTCAGCGATCACTTACACTTCAGCGGAGATCTAGCTGCATCAATGATGGAGGAATAGGGTATGTGCTGGAAATCAACGTTTTACTTCCCAAAGTAATGCATGGAGGAAAACGCATGCAAGACAGCGCATTTCTGGTTGTCTTAGGTCCTGCTTTGTGAATTAGGTTCTAGGTCAGCAAGGTATTCAGAAGTGGGGTTGGTCCTCTTGGAGCTAGCGAGCTGCTCGAGTGCTTAGAATTGTTGATACCCTTACTGATCTGATTTTAGAGCTACCTGAGAGTAGGACAACTCGCTTTGCTCGTCCTTTCATAAAAACCACATTAATATCAGTTTTGTTGTGTTGATTAATGTACTATCAGTGAAATCAGGGAGACTTATAATAACAAAGCTGTATCCTTAGATGTTTTGCGGTGAAGAGATGAACAGCTGTCTGCTGCTCTTTCACTTCTCTGTGCTCTGACTAGAGCTAACGTGCATCTAGGCTCTTTTTACACCTGGAAATCTGAGCAGGATGACGGACATCTGAATGTCCTCAACACTTTTAAAACACACACATAGATCTGCTGCATAGCAAGTGAGCAATGGGGTCCGACAGTTACTGTGTGTTGGGGGGGGGGTAATTTAATTGGACTCTCTTCCTCTGTGGACATACACGGCGAAGGATCATAGTCCTTGATCTGCCTTGTGCAAACGCTCACACCATCGGCTGCTCTGGTGCTTTCTAGAAGAACTGGGTGGACTTAATTCCCACGTGATGAGGGACCCACCCTTGTGTGGGAGCACTGAGGATACCGCACGCTTCTGCAGGGGTGGTACCCGTTCCCTGTGTGCTGGGGGCCAGGCACGTCCCGGCAGGGAGGGTGTACTGAACCTGGGCGGGCTGTCTGCACGGTGCTCGCAGAGCGGATCTGACACTCGCTTGAGACGTCCCATTGGTACCAAATCAACGTGTGCATTTCTGCCCCAGGGACGCAGAAATCCGGTGCCCTGAAGGGTGTCTGTTCTGCCTGAAGGGACGTTCACTGCCTCCCCCTGTTCTGCCTGAAGGGACATTCACTGCCTCCCCAAGCAGCAGAACGGCACCGCGAGGCTCGATCCGCTTGCGCGGGTTAAGCAACCTGGGATGGCCGGGTGGTAGCTGTGGTCATATGCAAGACCATATTATTGTGCCAGCCTGACTCCTTGTGAATTCCTTGCTTGCATTTACAGGTGATGACTGTGAATGTGGTGAGTAAAGGAAACAGCAATAACGTAGAAAGATTTTCTAGGGGGAAAAAAATAGTTGTCAGCATTCAGAGGGCTTAAGCCAAATGCAGGACAGGCAGCAGCCACTAGTGATTTTCATGACATTTGTTATGCTTTAATCAGCACAAGTGCTGTTTGCGTTGCTGAGCGCGCTGGAAGGGTGGGGTGGGGTGTCCTCCACCTTGTTACAGCGACGCTCCTGATAGCCTAGCCCTTCCTTCCACAAAGGTCTTGCTTCTTGTCTGACCTGGAGAACAGTCCCAGGCCAGTTTGGGGCTGTCAAGTCTTACCCACATCCGGCTCAGTTAATAACCCCCTGCTCTGGTCCCTCACCTTCAGGCATTTGCAGGGCTGTGTTCCAGTCCCTCCCCAAGACCGCGCGTCGGTGGGGGTGGCTGCCAGCCTACTCCCTCACCTGCTCAGAGGCACAAAGGGAGGGCTGACCCCCCTGCCCTCTTCTCCCTCGCTGTGGGGCTGGTTGTGCGCTGCTGCAGGTACGGCCACATCCAGCCCTCGCGCATGGGCAGGCGCTGCGGCTGTGCTGTGTCCCATGGGGAGACACATGTGCAGGCTAACTCGTGTACCCAAAGCCGGGTCGCAGCTCCACAGCTTGTCTGGCGTCGATGTGACCCAGGTAAGGCTGATCCCAGCTGCAGCCCTGGGGCAGGATCAGGGGCCCAGGGGTACTCTTGTGTCATTTTAGTCAACTGAGGGTCTCAGAGACATCTGTGCAGACCTGGCAGATGTGACACAGGACCAATGGGGCATGTAGAGCAGAAACTGGTGGCCACCAAGGACATCCTACAGCATCTCAAACAGCCCTGGGTCTTGTGCTCCGGCACCCTGTCCACTCCCTCAGTACCTTCATGGCCCTTCAGAGACTTACTCCTCTTCGACAACTAGAGTTAGAAATGCAGCATTGCTTATTAGCAATTTAAGCACTTGTTATTAGCAATGTAAGCACTTGTTCTGCAGCTTGTTACCAGCAGTAGTGGGATTCTTTGTGTACCCTTATGTGTTCTTCTGAAAGTGATCTAACATAAATTAGCGATTCAGTAAAGAAAGAGGGGCAAAATCCTCCTCAGTAATTTTCTCAAGGGGTAAGACCAACACTTTTTCCCTGTGTAGTACAAAGCTAAGAGACAGCACAGTAATTACAGCAGGTGAGAGGCCTGCGGGAAGAATTTACAAATAACTAGTATCTCTAAGAATATGAGGAACAGTAACTTAGGAAGGAATGAATGAATGGCACTGAAGAAAATGTACAGCAGATTTACTCATTGTCTGGTAGCAGGAACAGTCTCCTGTGAGGAGCTGAGTTGCTAGAAGGGAAGTACAGGAATAATTAGATTAATGAAATAGCAAGGAGGCACCCAGGTTTGGTTGCGTGAAGTCCTCCAGAACTCTTGAATTAAGGGCTACCCCTCATAAGAGAGGCCAGTGAGTTAGCCACAATTGCTTCGTTGCATTTCAAATTTTGTAAAAGAAGGAGGAGCTGCAGGGAGGTCTGAGCGATGCTCTGGGCTGACGGTTCACGCTGGGGAGAGCTTTCATGACCGAGTTGAGGTATATCGAGTTTTGTTTTTCAGGAATGTGTAATACTGGTGGAAAGTCTGAAAAGCAGACTTCACACAGCGGGAAAGGTTTCTTCTTTCTTCTGGGTCTCCCATTACTCAGTTAATCACACGGTTAATGTATTGAGCAAATAAACAGTGCTTTTTTGATTATTTTGCCACAGCTATTTAACCAGCTGCCCTTCAAATGCAGAGCCCAGAATTCCTGGGTCTTGCCCAAGGTTATGTGTACAGAGACACTTCATAAGCCACAATAAACATTTTATTCAGCCCGGCATTTGCTGTCACAACTAATGGGATACAGCTATTTGCAAGGATGTTTGATTCTTACACAATCTTGTTACTAACCCTTTGGAGAAATCCCAAACCTTTGTGGCCTCTGCAAATGCTGATGATCCCTTCCATGCGTGTGCGTGTAGAGGATTTTTCTCTAGGGGCGAGCAATCTGAGGTGACTCCGTTCAGAGAGCAGATCTTTCCCAACCAGAGTCAAAGCATTGCCTGACCCTGCCAAATCCCTTGGAAAGCTCCTTGTGGTCTGCGTTATGTGTTGGAGGACTGTCGAATTCTGCTGCTCTCTAATGGGCCCGTTTCAAGGGAATTGGTGCCCGTGCCAAGCAGGCTCCAACCCAAGCATAATGTGCCTAGAAAGAGGGGTGAGCATCAGAATTGCAAACTTTGCTGACCAAAGTCACTCCGTTGAGCCAAGACTGAAGTCCCACGGTGAGGAACAGCCGGGATTGCTGGACAGGCATACTGAAGAGCGGGCAGTGCAGATGCAGGTCACACTTGGGGATTGGAGCGTGGGGGGAGAAAGGTGAACTCCTGACACAGGTTATGGCACTTCACAGCTCCCTCTCCAGCTCATCGCCAGCAAGTGCAACGGTGTTGTGCCTGACGGACTTGGGTCCTCTCCAGCATCCTCGCCTGAAACGCTCACCCGCTGTCTGAAAGAGAGGTGGATGTTCTCCATGGGCCACGCCGTGGTCCCACTCCTGGACCATTTGGACCAGCGCACACACAGGAGCATGCCGTGGCTCCCTTGTTGCTCCCACACCCCGATTCCTTGCCATCAGGAAGCAG